TCCTCACGTGCAGACGAATTCTGTTTGCTCGAGCTTTACACCAAAATAATACAGAATACTTTTTTTTTACAATGACAACGGTTAAATTTGAACTCGTGACTTTTAGGTCTGTTTTTATACACTATTACATCTCACACGCATACAGAGTTTGTTTGCTCGAGCCTTACACGGGCATACTAATATACTCCCTCCGTCCCAGAGTATTTGTCCATTTTTGACTTTTCGGGGTCAAAATTGGTAAATTTTGACTCCAAATTAAAAAAAATGATATTAGATATTAATACAAAAATAGTTTTATTAGATTTGTTATATAAAATATTTTCAAGATATTATTTTATCTAATTAATACTCCGTATACAATATATATTTTATTTAATTATAGGTCAAAGGTTGAAAACGCTTGACTTAAAAAAGTTAAAACTGGACAAATACTCTGGGACGGAGGTAGTACGGCCGTAAAATTTGAACTTGTGACCTCTATCAATGCTCAGGCCATTTGTCACCCCGAAGCGATGTATATAGCTTTGGAGTCGTTCTCCTCGAGCTTCTCACGGGGAGAAGGTCCCTAGACAAAACGAGACCAACGAGAGAACAAAACCTCGCGGACTGGGCTTCGCCCCTTCTCCGGGAGAAAAAGAAGTTGATAAACATCATTGACCCGAGATTGGAGGGAAATTATCCGGTCAAAGCGGTTCACCGGGCCGCAACCCTTGCTTACCATTGCCTGAACCGCAACCCGAAAGCCCGGCCCCTTATGCGTGACATTGTCGATTCCCTCGAGCCGCTCCAAGCTCCGTGTCACGGTCCGGTTTACCCAACGGCTGTGACTGGGGTTAGGGATAATGGTGATGGAGTTACCAAAGTAAACCTGCCAAGTTAATGATGGAATCCTTTTAACCTTTTTGTTTTTAAGTATATACAGAATTAGTTTATCATGTGTTAACATAGTATAATTGTGTACTTCTACACTTTTTAACTAGTGACGCAATATTAGTATATATATTTGCTTCAATATATGATATGCATAAAATTTGTATTATTCTTCCTATATTTGTTACCAGAGGAAAGGATGATCTAAGAAGGTTATACCAATTTACTCATTTAATAAATTTAATTTGTCACTAATGTATGGAGTAGTTTCTAAATTTTCTGTTCGTCTCAAAATAATTTGTTTATTTTGATTTCACGGAGATTAAGAATCTATTTAAAAGATAGAAAAATATTTTAGATTATACTCTGTATTATTGAGTATTTTCTAGAAGTTTAAAAAGAGAAAAAAATGGAAAATTATTTTGGGATGGATGAAAAAGAGCTTTGGATTTTTTTAGGGGAAAAGAAGTATAACTTTTTTTTTGAATTAGAAAAAGGTTTCAAATGTTAATTTTAAAATAAATTTAATCAAATGTTATAACACAATAGGGAGATATTTTTATAGATCGAGATGCGTTTGTCTTTCGAGTATTTCAATTTGACATGAAATAATTTCAAAAGGATGGCGCCCATCCTTGAGGGGAACTCAACACCCTCCAGATAGTTGGCTGAAAAAAGATAAATTGAACCATAATCTCAATTAGTTAGCATATGGATGAGCTTTTGTGTCTAATCTTGGAGTGATCTCATGTTTTGCATGGTTGCTCTCATCGCAACAACCACATTTAGAACTTGAGATCTCTCTCCTTTGTAGTACCTTTATGCCAACTGATGAAATACATTTCATCGAATAAACCATGTGTTGCTCCATTGAGTTAATTACTAAGTTCTGGTAAGGTTCTATAATTATACGGAAATCAATAACATACAAATCTAAATTTCTTTTAAAAATTCTTTCAAATTCAAACTTTTGGAATACATATTTCAAAAAAAATTAAATAAATACAAATTCAAAAAATTTAATATTCAATTGAACTAAATTACTAGTACAACCTAATTTAAGAAGTAGCATATTTAAGGAAGTGGGCCATCCAAGCTATCAAAATTCTAGAGTATTCGAAAACGGAAGGGACGCCAACCACAAACGGCCGTTATTTGCAAATATTGAAACGACGGAAGAGTTTAGAAGCTTCAAGAGACTACGGCGACTCAGGATCGTTCTCCGCATATTCTAGAAGATTCTGAGATGGAAATCTATGGTTCATTTGGCAAAAGTTTTACGGAGTAATACAGACTAATTAATTTTAATATTTTGAAAAAATTATCTGATAAAAATAATAAATATTTTTTTTCATCCCAAACTATCATCTATTCGTCATTCTAAATTTTAAATAACTTTTATTTGCCATTTATTTTTATTAATCTTTTAAAAAAATAAAATAGACATATCACTATATATTTTGTACTTTTTATTTCTTTACCAACTTACAAATATGTATTGTAAATTTTTGAATATGTAAATTATACTTTTTATTTCTATACAATTTGTAATTAAAAATATTTTAAATGAGATAAAATTTTGTACGCTATTCAAAACATGACAATAATTTTGGAAGCTAGATAGTATTTTCATCGTCCCTTAAAGTTTTTAATTTCCCATTTTGTACTAGTGTTTGAAGAAATTAAGGGAGAGATATTTTTGTATTGATTTTTCAAATATACCTTTTATGTGATGGCTAAAAATATGATGCAATTGGTAGATTATTAATAAAAACGTATGATGTGATATGTAGAATAAAAATTAGTATGGCAAACATATATAATTTTTTTAAAAAGGAAGATGATGAACTTTGTATGACAAAAAAAAGAAGTTTATGAGACGAATGAAGTATATTTTAGTAAATCTAATAAAACCGAAATATTAATTTTTTTCATTGATATTTTTTTCATCAATGAAAAAACCAACTACAAAAAGTGACTTTAGCTTCTTTTTAATTTACTCTTTTTACTTACTCCCTTCGTTTCAATTTAAAGTGTATGTTTTCTGTTTACGATGTTTGACTGAAATAATTTTAAATGTAATTTATAAGAGAATTGATTGCATTTAAAAAGTAAACCTTATATATAAATAAACTACATAAAAGCATGGGTGGCCCTGAGAGTGTGCAAAGTGGGCAACCGCACATGGCCCCTAAAATTTTAGGGTTCTATATTTATAAATTCATCATTAATTTTGAAGTATAAGTATTCTAAAATAATTAAATATGGCTCAAAACGAAAATTTCGAACCGGCCCAATTTCATTTTTTCATTTTCCGAGACCGACCCTGCATAAAAGTAGTACGAAGCAAGAGATGACACGACTAATTATTTAATCAAGTGAGTAAAAATAGGAAAAGAAAGTAAGTGCAGTGTGAACATGTAAATAATAAACATGCAAACTAACTTAAGAGTGAGAGAGTATTACTTAATGCTAATTCTTACTAACATCAGATCAGTAAGAACTTTAAATACAACTACAATTAGATTATATCAAAATTTATTGCAATCAGATCAGAACAAATTAGATCAAGCGAAAGGAACAAACCCGTAATGGAGGAACACTAAGCGATGGGGTACAACCGTTTACTTAAAACAAATGACCAACAATTTGTATCGTATTCCCTTTTACTTGCATCATTTTCAAATTTAATTTTCACTACATCCCGTAGACTTAGTTTGGGTATATCTGAAAAACGTAAGAAGAATTATTGTGAAATAGGCAAATAACAACATAAATTTGTCAAAGACGTTGTGTTTAAATGACACTAAGATGGCTTTTTCAAATGTGAGGTTACATGTTTAATTTTAGTGGGGAAAATAAATATTTGTGCAATGTTAAAATGTGAATGTCTGATAGTGTAGCCACCCTTACAAACAAATAAAAATATACTCCGTATTTTGATATAAGGCTGTGTTATGAGGTTTAAGAAGGAACTTGACCACTCTCCTTCACACCCTCCCACTTTCTTTCCTCTCATGACACAATTGGGCTTGAGCAAGTGAAAAAGTCGGATGCGTGATCTTCATCACGAAGTGATGGTCGAGAGAGAATCAATCATTTTTTTTCTTGTTTTTTTTAAAATAAAATTAACACAATAAAAGCAATCTATTCACTCATTTATGGCAAGATTTCATAACATACTTTCTCTTTTTATGAAGTTACCTATCACTATTATTCTTATGTAATGTCTACGCGACACATGATCAAGCCCTGCCCTGTAAACTACATCACACACATACTCTAGAAAAAAATTGCATTAGTTGGCAAGACAAGAGATGCATAAAGGTAATACTCGAGTTCGAATCTTGACATTTGTGTTTAGAGGTAATTATGCAAAACATGTGATTTTTTCAAGAATGGGTGATGGCTTCATCACCTGTCATTAATGATCAAAATATTGCATTAGAGACCGTAAAGAGTCAAATGAGAAATTATTTTTAAGACGTAGAGAGTATTTTTTACTGACCCCATATTTTATAAGGACATATAGAAAAAAATGACCAAAGTGTTGTGTAAAAAGATATGGTTTATTTATACTCTTTCCGATCCAAATTAATCTTTCTTATATCTACTCTAGGCTGTCCCATATTAATCTTCCACTTTTCTGTTTTGAAAAGCTTTTTGTGAATTACTTTTTTTCTCTTTTCTCTGCACCATTTTAATCCACACAATTTTACTTTTCTTAAACTCCGAACAAAGTCAAACTGTGAATATTAATTTAGAATTTAGAGAATTTATAATTAAGGACAAAGGGAATACATTTGTGTAAAACATGTGCAAAAATGTGAAAATAATCAAAATACGCCCTCCATCCATAATTTATCTTTCCAATTTCATTATTTGTCTATCCATAAATTATCTCCCCGTTTCGTTTTTTTGGCAAATGCTTATCTAAACTTTATTTCATTTTTTGAAATGATCCAAGAATAAATATAGAAATCAAAATATTTTTTAGTTTTATTTAATTTGGGCGTAAAGTCAAAGAAGTTGCAAGGGGAGAGTGCCTACACCACAAGGAAGCATGGAGTAAGATAAAGAGATTTAGGATGAGGCGCTTTATATACCAGGGTAAAGCCCTATACCCTAGTCATTGATAAAACGTTTTTAAGCACTCGCCGCTAAAGCCATCACCACTCCACAGTCATTTCATTTCTACACCACTCAACTCTTTTCTCGCTCAATCTTCTTCGTCGTCTCCGAGCCTCCCATCCTAGAATCCAGGTTTCACCTCTCCATCTCCGCCCTGGTAACCTTCAATCCATCACTATCCTCCCTCGCTTGCATATAGTACTGATCCATTGTTTGTTTTTTGTTTTTGAATATTTTCGCGTTGATTGGTATTCTATGTTGTGTTTTTTAATTGAATTTGAGAAAATTTCTGCTTAGGACTATTTTATCTTAGATTTGATCATCGAAATACGTGTTTGATTTCGCTCCCGAGTATATTACTCCGTAAATTGTTTTGGAAAATACTGTCTTTGACCATTCCTGTTGGATTATTGTTTGTATGAGTATTGGATTGACCTTTTGGTGTAGTTTTTTAATGGATCTGCTTAATTATTGTTCGATTTTATATGTATTGTAATGGAATGTTATTGTTGATTAGTTAGATTATACCGAATACATTGGTTATGCACTGAAAATGATGTAATGAAAGGAAGCTTTATACTTGAAATTATAAATTTAAATGACATTTGAAATCTATTGGAGTCAGCTGAGAATGATATTCTGAAACATTTTATTTGACTCAGTGTCATATTTCTGAAAATGTAATTTTTTGAACTCTTTTCTGCGACTCTGTGTCTAAGAAGCAATTTGATCGGTAATGGATTTCAACCAATATTTTAGAAACCGGACTGGTGGTTGAAATGAGCTCGAACTGTTTCAAAACAAGTAGAACCGACTCTGGCTCGTGAATCGGGCTGATCTTTAACAGTTTCAAAACATGTGAAAATTTCAACATGTTTTTTTAAATACTCGGAGTACTTCGTACGGAGTATTACTTTATGTCCCGTTTCTATGAAAACTTTGATTTCAAAAAATTAAACAAATTATTAAACAATTTCAAAAATAAATGAAATACTAAGTGAATTATAAATCTTATTTGTTAATCTGAATATAACTACTAGTGCTTGGAGTGAATCCCGAAATTTTCTCATTTCAGTTATTCGTGCTAATGTTTGAGAAATGTGCTTGTTTTTATGTCAGGTGCAAATGGCATCTACCTTTGCCGGCATGTCTTCTGTTGGGTCGTTGGCTACTCCCAAAATATGTGTGATGGACCCTAAGCTTTCAGCTTCTTCTAATAAGCTTTCATCCCTTGCCTCCATGCCTCCCCTACCCCTTGGGAGGAGAAATGTTGTTCTACGTAAATCACGCCGAAGCCAAATAACAGCTGCTGCCAAAGAATTACATTTCAACAAGGATGGATCTGCTATTAAGAAGCTCCAAGTTAGTTTTATTTTGTCTCGCAGTGATAAAATGTTACTCAAATCAGTAGGCGGCCTGGTGTTTATGTTGTTTTTCTTTGCGTTGCAGATGGGTGTCAACAAGCTCTCTGATCTAGTTGGGGTCACTCTTGGTCCTAAAGGAAGAAATGTTGTTCTTGAGAGCAAGTATGGTGCCCCAAAAATTGTCAACGATGGAGTTACTGTGGCCAAAGAGGTAAATATTTTATTGAACCAGCACTGTGTTTTGCAGCAACAACAATCCCGCTATTGTATGTTTCCTCAAGACAATACTGTGCAATAACTTTTTAATATGATAATCTGCCATAGGTTGAGCTTGAGGACCCTGTAGAGAACATAGGTGCCAAGTTGGTGAGACAAGCTGCAGCCAAAACCAATGATCTGGCTGGTGATGGGACTACCACATCTGTTGTTCTTGCACAAGGCTTGATTGCTGAAGGTGTTAAGGTATATTAGAAAATTCATTGGCTGTTTTTAATTAGATGCACGTGTTGCAATAGTCATGAAAATTATTTTATAAGATTGTTATTTTCTGCAGGTTGTTGCAGCAGGTTCAAACCCCGTATTAATTACTAGAGGGATTGAGAAAACCACAAAAGCTCTAGTGTCTGAGCTTAAAAACATGTCGAAAGAGGTAATTCATATAGTTGTTGCTTCCATATATACAAAGTTATGCTCAATTACTTTAGAAGTATGATAAACTTTGCAAGTTGTTTGGTAGGATAAACATAGAGAAACATTTCTCACTTCTCTCTTCCTCATTTATCTCATTGCCTAACATGAGAATTGCAAATGGTTTATAAAAATTTCATTGTGCTTTACTTTCCTACCTCTTTGTTACTTACAGGTAGAAGACAGTGAATTAGCAGATGTGGCTGCGGTAAGTGCGGGGAACAACTATGAAGTTGGAAATATGATTGCTGAAGCCATGAGCAAAGTTGGTCGGAAGGGTGTTGTCACCCTTGAAGAAGGGAAAAGTGCTGAAAACAATCTACGAGTCGTGGAGGGAATGCAATTTGATCGTGGTTATATTTCACCATACTTTGTGACTGACAGTGAGAAAATGGCTGTTGAGTTTGAGAACTGTAAGGTAAGTTTTTTTTTTTCAAGATTGCTTGAAGAATTTTTTTTGGAATATGGGACATTTAATTTTAATGTGAACAAAATTGAGATGGAAAGGTGAGGGAAAATCTGTATGGAACGAAAATTTGGAGAAATAAGAAACTGGTTAAAAATTGTTCGAACCCTCTTTTTTTCTGTAGGGTTATAAATGTATAAATGTTTCTCTTATTTTTTCATTTTTTTTGAATTCATTCTTCTGGTTTGATTATTTGATACTAAATGTACTTTGACAGTTGCTGCTTGTTGACAAAAAAATTACAAATGCAAGGGATCTTATCAGTGTGTTGGAAGACGCTATCAGAAGTGGCTATCCAATTTTGATAGTTGCAGAAGATATTGAACAGGAAGCTCTTGCAACATTGGTAGTTAATAAGCTAAGGGGTGCATTGAAGGTTGCTGCATTGAAAGCTCCTGGTTTTGGTGAACGTAAATCACAATATCTTGATGATATTGCAGTTTTAACTGGAGGTATTTCTGGCATCTTTATCTTACACATCTTTTCCTGTTTCACATCCGTCTTTGGCTTCTCTCAAACTTGGTCTTTGTCTTTCATTATATTCCTTCTCAAAAAAGAGTTCCTTTGAGAGCTTTTATCTTTCTAAAAATTGAACAAAAAGGTACTTTCTATTGTCTATATTAATTCTTTTTTCATAAAGTGTTTCGGACAAGCAAAGTGTTAAATTTAGATATACAAATCAATATTTATGCATTTTATTGTCTTATTTATTTATTTGTTCATTTTGCTGCAGCGACTGTAATTAGAGAAGAGGTTGGCCTTACATTAGACAAGGCTGATAAGGAAGTCCTTGGTACTGCTGCAAAGGTGGTCCTCACCAAGGACTCCACGACCATTGTTGGTGATGGTAGCACACAGGAAGCAGTCAACAAACGAGTTGCACAAATTAAAAATCTTATAGAGGTAATCCTGTTTCACCTATAGGGTTGATGGATCTATATCCTGTCACTTTTAATTATTTTCTAGAATGTATAATCTAACCATATAATGATTCATTAAGCAGGCTGCAGAGCAAGATTACGAGAGGGAAAAACTGAATGAAAGAATTGCAAAATTATCAGGAGGTGTTGCTGTCATTCAGGTAAATGGCGTTTGAATTGCTTGATTACGATGATCATACTTTAGTTCTCGATATTTCATGAGAAGTTTGTTTTGTATTGAATTATGAAGGTTGGAGCACAAACTGAAACTGAACTGAAAGAAAAGAAACTTAGAGTGGAAGATGCTTTAAATGCCACAAAGGTAAGTTTATTTGTGTGTTGCAAATCAGTCTATTCTATTTAGTATGAATTTTTTATTGGGTTACTGGAATTGCTTGTCACAATGCTTTCAGGCTGCTGTTGAGGAAGGCATTGTCGTCGGGGGAGGATGCACTCTTTTGAGACTTTCTGCAAAAGTGGATGCCATCAAGGAGAGCCTTGCTAATGATGAGGAGAAGGCTAGTCTTTGATTACTCCATATTTTCATCACTTCTTGATATTTTGATTTTGAATGCTTTTTTTAGCAACATTTTAATGATATGCACCCTAATTGATCAGGTTGGAGCTGATATTGTCAAGAGAGCTTTGAGTTACCCTCTGAAGCTGATTGCTAAAAATGCTGGTGTTAATGGAAGTGTTGTCAGTGAGAAGGTAAGTTTTATTCTAGCTTATATGTTTTCGTATTTGACTGATATATTAATGTTTGACTAATTCATTTGATTGGCCTTAATGTCCTTCAAAGTTAAACTGATGTTTTCGTATTTGATGTTTAGGTCCTTTCAAGTGATAACCCAAAATATGGATACAATGCTGCCACGGGCAACTATGAAGATTTGATGGCTGCTGGAATCATTGATCCAACCAAGGTAATCTTTTTATTCGTTAGCTAACTAAGTTTATTTATTAATGTTGTTCCTTAGTTCAAAGGTAAAAAGAATCTAGTTCCACGTGTCATAACATCATCTACGGTCCTAGTGAATTCCCACAAGTAGGGGTCTTGGAGCTTCTGACATGGTACAAGTTTTTAGTTGTGCAATGTACAACTTTCATCAATCTAATTTCGCGTTAATTTTATTATTATTTTGGTTTAACTAACTTTTTTAGTATATGTAGTTGTACTTGTCTGAGATTTTATCTATGCTATGGTACAGGAGAAACTAGTTTCTCTTGATCAAACTGTCTCTCCCATCATGTTCAATTTTTCCATTCTAGACTCCCTCAAAATATTTGTGCTACACTCATACCAATTGTGGTCGTATTTGTGTGTTTCCAAATCATCCATATTTTACAAAATCAATTTCAACCAGAGTTTTTTTAGATCGCTTGTTACGTCCACATGCTATTAACTTGGTGGATATGTGGAACTTTTTTGGGGGCTCTTTTTGAGCTTGATGACAATTGTTAAACTTCCATGCACCGAATCAATTTGTCAAAGTGGTCTCATTTGTGGGTAATGTTTTAGGTGGTGAGGTGCTGTTTAGAACATGCAGCATCTGTGGCCAAGACGTTCTTGATGTCCGATTGTGTGGTGGTTGAAATCAAGGAGCCAGAGCCAGCTGTTGCACCAAACCCCATGGATAACTCAGGTATCTCCAACCTATTTTAACACCCCAACGTTGAATGCATATGAACCATTTGACTTATGCTCATTTGATAACCCCCTCTTTCAACATCATTCAAAATGCCATGCTTGGTAAAACAAGTTGATCATTTTAGATGATAACTAGATAAGAAATGCAACATGCCATAACATGTTGTCTCTTGTAGGTCATTTATAAAGCTTTTCAAAAAATGTTACTCTCTATGTCCATTGCTTATGTTTTTACTTTCCTTCTCAGTTATCTCTTCCCATTCCTTTTTATACTGTTTGGTTCAAGAAATTTGTAAGGAAAAGAAAAGAAAATGGGGTTCTCCAATTTTCATCACCAAAACGGGAGGAATTTGATTTTCCACCTTCTTAGTACATTTTGCATTCTCGTTTTCTTTTCTTTTTTCTCTTAACCAAACATGAAAACTTGTTTTCCCTCTCGTTTTCTTTTCTCTTTCTTTTCCATTTCCTTGAACAAAACATTGTGTTAAGGATATAGTTCTTAGATTCCAATACCTTCCCTCTGCCCAACTTCGCTGTTTTTAAGCTCCTTAAAAAAAACAAAATGGACATTGAGCTTTATCAATGAACTAACCCGATGGAAAGATTAAACGGATGGTTTAAGACATAACCATGATTTTATATTCTAACACCCCAATTAGTCTTCGTACTTGCCTCTATCTCATTCCATGCATGAAGCAACACATTGTAAAGTTTTTGTTCTGTGTTCTAGTTCTTCACTTTCCCTTTCTATGTGTCGAAGTAGTGATAAAGTATGCATACCCACACCCACACCCCATAGACCCTATTGATTTCCTTTTTATTTGTTTGATTTGATCACTAAGAAGCTTCCTGTGTTTTACGTTTCTCAGGATACGGTTACTAGGTAAATGATAATCAAAGAGATTCGGGCGTGCTGAGGGACATGTAATTGCTGCAAAATGCAGGTTTTGTAAAATTTAGTAATTTTAACTGAGGAGTGGTAAAAAAACCCTGGTTGCTGGTGTGATTACCTGCCCTCCAGAATGTGGCTGAGTTAAAAAAAACATTATGTGCTGAAATTTACTGTACGGAGTTTGAGACTTTTAATAATGTTTGGTCCCTTCACACTCCAATGTCTCTATTTCCTTCTTATATTTTATGTGGGCTTCGAACTAACACTTTAGGTACAAACTGTCTAAGACTACGTGAAAGAAAACTAAAGAAAATGGGAAGTAGGTCCGTTTGGTATATGGAATTGATGGAATTGGAATTGAAATTTCATGAGATTCAATTCTATAGAATTGAATTCACCAATTCCAATTTATTTTTTGCACTGTCAATTTCAAATCTACATAATTTTTGTGTTACCAAACATCAGAATTGGAATTAAAGTTCTTAATTCCAATTCTATAGTTTGAATTTCGTGTACCAAATAGGGCCTAACTAAATTTTGTACAAAAATCCTTTGCTGTGACTTCTTTTCTCATCCCATGTTCCTATCTGCCTTTTTTTTATTCCAAAAAGGTTGTTGGAGTAGTTTTTCTCGTTGTAGATTTTTTAATCTAATTTTAATCATATAATTTTTAATTTTTAATTTTGTATCGTTTTCATATAAAATATTTTAAAAATAACTCTAATATTGTAAATTGAAACAAACGATATAAATTGGAATAAAGGAGGAATTAGTGATGATATAATTATATTATTTTATTAAATAGCTAATGAAAAGAAACAAAATAAATAAAGTTTGGTCTTGTAAATAGTAAATGATTAATTTAATTTTGGACCACCTAAGTTTTGTCCTGAACGCCACCCCCCTCCCAAACAAGGTTATACGAATAGTATTTGCGAGGCTGAATTAACCAAAGGTTTGAACGTAAAGTCAAGGAATGGCGCGCCTAGGAACCCGAGTGGCGCAGCGGATTTTGCATTGCATTGCAAATGCCTTAAAGTTTGTTTTTTACGGAGTAGTACCTTATTGGGACTCAAGCTTGTAAACTTATTCTTTATACTCCGTATCAAGTTTGTAGTATTCCTAACAAGATGTGTGTTGGAGTCTGTTTTATTTGGATGAAATAATTTATCGTTTTGGTCTCTTATATTTTACTTTTTATTGATTATTGATAGAATTATTTTCTTTTTTGAAAAATAATACTTGTTCCGTCTAATTTATATTGCCTGTTTTAATTTATGATGTCTGATCAATATTATTTTCAAATTGTTTTACATCAAGAATGATATAGAATTTAAAAATAAAAAACTATATCAAAAAATTTACAAAACTAGTGGTGATATAATAATTTTATTTGTTTAAAAGACTATCGAAAAAAGAGAAAGAAAGTGAATGAAATTTGTCTTTATAAATAGTAAATAGATCATCTTAATTTGGAACGGAGAGAGTAGTATCTCAATCTCAAATTAATCTTCCAATTTTTTTTTAGTGTTGTCTTTAAACAAACTTCTCATTCTTTTAAAGGAATGAAATAAGTGAGTTATATTTCTTTCTTCCATTCATTAATTTCAATCAAAGAATTTTCCTTTTCTTGAACAAAAAGGAAGATTAATTTGGGAAATTGGTAAAGCCTTACTTTGAATTTTTGCCACCCTATAAAATTGGAGCTACACCCGTCTGCACTTAGAGTGCAACATTTTGAATTAACAAAATATTCATTTTTCAATTATAGTGTTCATTTTGAAGTATACTTAACATGACATTATTTTGAAATATGTTTATTTAGAAAAAATGTAGTGTTCATTCTTAAAGAACTTAATTTACATTATAAAGCATGTCTTTTTAATTATTACCTTTATCTCTCAATATCTATTGCATATTTGTAGAATAAAATTTTTAAAAATTCTCAACAAGATAAATCTAATTAAATCATGCTTATACATATACATTATGAATTTTATTTAACTAAAACTTAAAATTTATTCAGTTTGAATTGAAAAACTAAAATTGAACGAATAACGAAATTGGTATGAATGATATAAATATAACAAGAAATAATAAGGTGGACCATGTAATTTGGGATGAAATTGGCTTTGAAGTTTGAAGCGGATGAAGTATATCCAAATTCAGCAACAGAAGCCACTCTGACTTCCACGTGGCACCACAATTCTCGGACAAATCCCGGCGAGTAATCCATCGCCTTCCTTCCATCTTCAAGACAGAGCAATCTGTAATCCAATCGCTCCACTACTAATCCATGGCTATGGCTTCGTCAATGGCTTCGTCAATGGCTTCATTAAACCCCACATCTCTCTGTTCATCTTCATCTTCTTCATCTTCTTCACCAGCACCAAGAATTATTCCCTCCAAGCAAATCCCATATCTAAGTTCTTCGCTAAATCTAAACCAACCCGGGCTTCGTCCATTTCCGAGCAGCAGTTTCTGCAATGCCCACTCGTTAAAGATTCCATCTTTGGCACTCAAGGCCTCCAGTTCAGGCAACGGGGAGGGGGAGTACGAAGTGTATGAGGTCGAAATAGTGAAGCCCTATGGATTGAAATTCGCGAAGGGAAGGGATGGGGGCACTTATATTGACGCCATTGAACCTGGAGGATCAGCTGATAAGACTGGGAAGTTCACAGTTGGGGATAGGGTTATTGCCACCAGGTGTTTGATAAAATTCCTCTGTGTTTTATATTCATTACATGAACTTGTCATCGATGGGTGGCTCTGACTGGTGGTGAAATAAGAAATGAGAGTGAATTAGCACCAAGCAGAATTTTCCCGAAGAGATTATACAGAAGAGAATAGTCTGGTTAAAGTTGATTGCTTTCATTTCTACTGCTGTCGAATTACCTATATGTTTATTCGTGATAACTAAACAAATGGTTTAGTTCTATTAGCCTCATAATGAGGTGGGAACTTTTGTTTTGAGCTATTATTGTCCATAGGAGGATCACACACAATGATCTTTGCAGGTGGAAAATATTCTACATATAGTATAATAGAATGAGATTCTTGCAAGAGTCTGTGTTGCAAGGTCATGCTTTGACAGGTTTTAGAACTAAAAGATGATCTTTGTTGTGCTTCTGATTTGTAGTTAGTGCGCACGATGTAAAAGATTCTTAGCCATTTCTCTTAGATGAATAGCTGTGTAATTTAATTGGTAAAAAAAAATAAAGGTCTTAACCATCCGTTGTCCACTCCAGTTAACTGCAAAGCCAAATTCTTAACACACATATACCAACATCCATGGTAAAGAATGTGACTAGAGCAGTCTAAAAACTTGTTCAGTGCAGTGTTTGGAGATGACATCTGGCCTTCTGCTGAATATGGAAGAACAATGTACACTATCCGGCAGCGAATGGGCCCATTGTTCATGAAAATGGAGAAGAGATATGGTGAGTTAGCTCTCCTGATATCTAGGATTGATGGGAAAAAATCTACAATTTGGGATGTCTTCTCTTTATCAAAGGGATACATGAGCAATATAAGCTATCAGTTGAATTGTTTGCTAATTATTCTCTAAATTGTTGTCCAATGTTATTCTTCATAATATTGACAATCTTGTTGTTTTGGATCATATCCTATGTGGCATGATGTTTTTTAAACTTTGCTTCTGCTGTTTAGGGCTTGTTTGGCTGAGGGCTTGGGAGATCTTGGAGGGGGTGGGGAGGACTGATTGTTTCTTTTCTAGTTGGTCTATTTTTCACTTTAAATAGAACTACAATCTCCACTTGCCTTAGATTTGAAAGTAACTATGGAGTATTCTATTCCTCAAATAACATTTTTTTAAAACCTTTTCATATTCTGTTTCTTCCCAACACCCTAATGTGAGAATATATTACTGTATGAAAGTAAATATCTTTTTATCCCCTTCATCCTTGTCAACATTCACAACCAAATAAGGACTTGTGCTTTGTCAGGGAAGATGGATAGTACAGGTGAGCTCTCAGATAAGGAAATTATTAGACAAGAAAGGAGTGCTGGTTTTATCACTGATAGGGTGAGAGAGATTCAGGCAAGCACTTCTCTTCAAATGTACACCCTGAATAAAAATACCATGCTGAAGTTGTTTTTCACTCCCCTGGTCCCCTTGTATTGATATGCTTAAAATGGCATGTTTGGTCTCAGTTGAAAAATGCAGTGCTGAAAAAGGAACAGAAGGAGCGCAGAGAAATGGATCTTCGTGAAGGACTTCAGATGTACAGGTGAATGTTGTTTCTGTGGGTTTTCCGTTTCCCTTGTCATTTTTAATTTTCAAGGAACCTACTTTAGATCCTTGTTGGTAACACTAGAGTTTTGTTGCAAATGCTGGATTTGTGGCTCAAACTTGAGGTAGAAGGGTAGTTTTTATTTTAGCAAACAAAAATATAATCTTCCACTATTTTCCTAATTTCACCCGTCAAATAAAGTAGTGTTTCATAGAAAACCCTGCAGAAAAGTTCTTCTACCAAAGCGGCATCTAATCGTGTAACATGGTAAGAAAATTGAGCCCCGCAGCATTGACACCACTCATGACACCAAGTTTGACACTACCTCTGTTTCAAAACTATCCCCTGACAATGACTGTATGTGTGTGACAGTCTTTCTGTGTCTGAGAGATAAAATGCCAAGTGGTGTAGATCTTGGTGTCATTAGTGGTGGCAATTGGCAAAGTAGAACTACTCGAGAAAATTTATCTTGATATTTATTGTTTTTTATATAGAAAAGCTAGAAAACTAAGAAAGGTGTCATTCCAAAGTGTTTTTTGGTGTTTTCACTAAGGAGGCTTACCATTTCCAATTCTCTGGCATTTTTGTTTTTCGAAATTTTCCGAGCTGTTGGGTATTTGATGGTTCTACTTTCATTTTCCTTTTTTCCCTTTCTGTTTGGCAAAGGAGTGGAAAATATGAAGAAGCATTAGAGAAATTTGAGTCTGTACTAGGGTCAAAACCAGATCTAAATGAAGCTGCAGTGGCAAATTACAATGTTGCATGTTGTTATTCTCAGCTTAATCAGGTAACCTATTGTTCTATTTGACTTATAAGTTATCTACTTTAGCAATGTTGAGATTTAAGGCCTTGTTTGGCAACCTGTTAGTGGGTTGTGTTAGTTGTTTCTCTCACTTGTTTGGTAGTTTTTCCAAAAAAGTTCAAAACAATGTTTTTGCAAACAAAATTTAATAACAACCGCCCCAAACGCTTCTAAAGAAAGTTTTGTGACCAAAAACCTTTCCCAAACACACTCATATATTCCTAATAGATGCTCTCTATGCCAAAAAAAAGCCACTTCTCACAAAAGCTCCTAGTCAAAAAGCTACTTCCTTGAATCTGGTCTTGCAATAGGTTGAAGCTGGGTTGTCTGCCTTGGAAGATGCTATGAAAGCAGGATTTGAAGATTATAAGGTACACTTTTCAAAATTTCATTTTCCTAAATCTCTATATTTTTTGTTTATGTGACATTGCCAAACGGGTCCTTTAAATACCTCTAAACCAGATTTTTGATTGTTTTTTTCTTCTAAAACTCTGCTTACAGAGAATGAGAAGAGACCCTGATCTTGCCAATCTCAGATCATCTCCAAACTTCGAACCCATTGTTAAGAAATACGACGAATCATTCATCAATGAAGGCGCTATCAACGCCCTCAAGTCCCTGTTTGGATTCAATAAGAAGTAGAGCAATGTGCTTGTATTCGACGCGTAGTTCTCGGGTTTCTTGTATCGTGTCATCCAAACGAGGCACTACACTATCGATCTCGGCTATGTCTTCCACACATGAAATGAGGGCTGTAAAATTAGGAAAAAAATGGGTTGTCCCTTTCTTCTCCTCAATTGTATTCTCTCCAAATTGTGATTTTTATGGGGAAAGCTAAAAAAGATACTATAAATGTGATTAAATTCATCTCATCAAACCTACTGTGAAGGAATGTAGGTTTACCCCGAGTTTGTACAATTGTACCTCAATTTGTATTATACTCTCCTTCGTCCCAATTTAAATTGTATGTTTCGATTTACAATGTTTGAATTTTGTTTTAAATTATTTTATATGAAAAATGGTGTAGAATTAATAAATAAAATTTATAGATATTTAAAGACTACATGAAAAGATTTACAAAACTTGTAGTGACAAGACTATATTATTTTATCAAAAGACTAACAAAACTATATTCTTTTTTTGTAGTGATAAAACTATATTATTTTATTAAAAGACTATATGTTTAACATACTTTTGTGAAAATCTTGTATTGAAAGCACACTCTCAATAGGTCTAGATATGACTAAAAAGTCGTACCTTAGAGCATAGGCAATCACAAGTAAGAAATGGAATGCCACACGATGATGTGGAGTATTTTAGCCAATCAAAATCTGTTCAGTCAGCGTGTGGTACATGGGTGGAGTGGCATGTCTTGCAGTGGCAAGTCACCATTTTTATCATTTTTATACCTTTTTAATATATTTTAATTACACAAATTATTTTACTTACCTTATTTTAATAAAAAATTGTAATCTTTTTTGGCAATGTTAACATTTTTGACATATTTTAATTAGCTAATGCGTGGTTTTTTATTATAAATTATTGTATTTTCTTGTAAAGTTTTAATTGTACAAAAAGAAAATTAAATTTTAAAATTTTTTAATTTAAATTATATAATTTCACATAAAACATTAATGTTTAAAAATGTATATTTTTTGGTCTCAAATTAGATTGTTTTGAAAAAGAAAATAAATTGTAAAGAAAAAAAGAAAGTAAAACAGTGCCTCTAATCTCAATAAAATAAAAAAACTTCTTTTTTTTACAAAAAAAATAAAAAGGGAAAAATAGTTGCTGGCTCGCACTTGCCACGATTTGCAAGGAAAAATGCACTGATTTGCCATGGAAATAGAGTAAGAATGCTGAGCTGGCATGCGTGGCAGTGGCTTTGACACGCCAGTGCCCATGCTCTTATTTGGGGTGTCAATGTACCAAAGTTCAATAATTTTTCATTTCATTCATACACATCTTGCTATAATCATACATTTTTTTAAAATTTATTTTAAACTTTCTATTTATAAAATCGAGATTTAGATGAATAATCTTTCCGTGGAATGCACGGGTAAGAATCCATTAACAAAAATAAGATAATATTACAATAATGAGACATGCATTTGAACTACTTTCTCTAAATGTAGTGTTTTCTAAGTTTCTTTCAAAGTGAAGTTTTTCTTTTGATATTGAAAGTTTATGTTTTTCCTTGTTATGGGAATGAGAAATACTAGAATAAAAAATATAAAGATCACAAAGGAAAGTCACAAACATATAGTTTACAAATTTCACAAACTTTCCTTTTGTAGATTTTAAATTAAAATATTTTTTATTATTTGATTGCATCTTATTTCTAGGAAAGCGTTAAAAAAGTACGTTTGTAAATTTTGTGAAATGTTTGTTTTTGACTCTAGCATGTTTGTGACTTTCATAGATATTGTTAGGAAAATTATTAGAAGTGAAATTCATCATTATATCCAATATTCACATGCTATTATAGTTTGAATTAAGATATTTTTTTTTGGGAGAAAGGGTGTTTAGACAAAATTTATATGTTTATCAATATGATTCAATTATGATTTACAGAGTATGTAAGAGAGACCAAGTAATCTCGAAAATTTATTTCTCAGTTTGACTTGCCAAAGAGATTAATAAAATATTAAAAGGTGTAAAACTTTTATGTTTGTCTTTAATGTGAACGAATAAATAATTAGTATAGATAAAAAGTTTGAATATAATGATACATTTATTGAAATTTTGTAACCAAAATAAAAAAATTGTTTAAAAAAATATATCCATATACGACTCTTGACAATGACGATAAAAAATGATCATCTGGATTGTGATATAACATACTGCAAGTGATATCACAAAAGTGCAGACTAAATACACCGCTCATAATGGTATGTGAAGGAAAACAGATACCCCCATAATGTACTACCATTACAGATGCCAAAACTTACCATTGTTATTATTTAGTGAACAAAACACATATTTCCAAAAGTTTTGCACTCATCAAATGAAGCAATACACATTGGGGCAATTGTTCCACCCTCTCTTATAATACTCCTATTGGGTCTATTGGTAGACTAATTCTGAGCTAATATATAACAGCACACTTATCACAAAAACAAAATTGTGGTTCAAACTTGTGCAAGTGAGAGAGAGTGAGAGAGAGATGATTTGAACCCGCGCATCTTTTGAAGAATGAGGAACCTTGTTTTGGGACATATCCTTTTTTAAGGGGCGGGGATCGATATATGTATATAAGGGCAAATTCGTCCCCCTAATATTCATTGTGTCACTGAGTTGTACCTAATAATCCTCCCCTTTTGATGTCTTTGGCTTTCTTCCTCTCGATGAGTTTCTCCTCCTCGTCTTTCAAATGTGATAGAAGAAGAAGAAAACCAAATAAAAAGAATCCACCGGATGTGTTTCCTCCACCTCCGCCCCCTCCCCCACCTCCACGATGCCATGGTGGAAGGTTGGGCCCGCTGTCATCAAGTCTTGGCGTGGACGGGTTCCCCTTATCTGCAATCAGTTGAATACCCACTTATATGTGCAAGAATTGCAAATTATGGCAGGACACAAAAAAAGGTATTGAAGTGATAGTTATAAAAATTGAATATATAAAAAATAAAGAACCATTGCTAGGAGAACATCCATAAAGAAATGCACGACTTTCTGTTATCGAACATGTTGAAAAACATTGCATGCACCCAAACAAACCGCCACACCAATGTGCAAATCAAATCGTACTACTCTCTCCGTCCCCAAAAAAGTCCTTGGACAATATACGGAGTACAAATTTTTTTCATGAATGGAGTATTTTTAAAAAGGCAAAGATAATTGACTAGTACCAATTTGAGGCGCAATATTTGATGTTTTGGGGCTTTCTACACGCGGCAGAGTTTGTGTTGAGCCCTGAAATTGATCCACATGTTAGAATAAATACTTTGATAACCTGATGTTAGCATTTCTTTTGAGCATTGGTGCGTGTAACTACATCAATAGACCTATCGGCTATAGTTGCATGAAATGTCAATAATACATACAACAAGCTACAAAAGACAAGTGTGATGACTTACAATAACTTGAGATAGACTACCACAAAGTCCAGTGCCCATTTGGAAGGGCTTACTGAAAAAAACATTTCCAAAAGAACTTTTCTAAAGAGCACCAAATTGGTGCATTTGTTTCCGAGAGGAATGATAATTTATTCCTATTAAAGCTAAAAATTTCATGACTACCAATTTTGTAAAATTAATCTTATTATTACGGAGTACTGTAAAAGAAACAAAATATTTCCTTTAAAGAAAAATGGTTTTATCTTTTTCAAAAGTAATCCCAAACAGGCTCTTATTAGGTACCAATACTACTTACAGATGTGGCTGCACACGAAAAACTGGAGGATTGTGGTCTATCGAATAGTCTGATAGACCTTATTGCCACAAAGGAATGGTGCTTTGTTGACAGATGCAAACTTTTACATTCAGATGGCTTTGATTTTGTGAGTATCTTAGACTGGTTCCAAATCTTGGGTTTCTGACGTTGGCAATCAACTCTTGGGAGATTGAGGTTATTGGTTTTAGCTGTAAAAATTGCATCAACAGTGTGAAAATATATTTGTAGACAATAAACCAAAGGGTGCGATGATACAAAAATGCATTAACAACCAACTATTCAACTAAGCAATATCAATAACAATAACTGAGATGTGAAAACCCATTCTATAATCTGTACAAGTATAAACCTAGTGTTTATTTGATGCCCGCATTTGAAAACCTAGTGTTTTTATATGGAGTATATCATTTTGTCTATCATATCTCCTCTCGCAAAGCTTCCGCCAATCAAGCTTTGAGCAAGAACTACTCTACTGCATACATTTGTTTACTGAAATAAATAGTGTGGTGAAATAAGGCATACATACACTGATACACTTATTGGGAAAAATCATACACTTTTTGAGGAATTTTGTTTTACCAGCTTTCAGTGTTGGTTCAAGCTTAGCCGTGAATGCAAATGCAGTGGCAGCAGCAAACGTTGTAACATTGGTCAAAGGATTCGATACCCCAAGAGATTGATCCCATGTCAGTAAAGCCATGACTGCAAAATCCAATAAACTAATGCTTGTTTAACTCCAAGGACGAAATGGACAACAATCGATACATGGTACCCATTCTGGATATGCTCTAAAATCAGGAGGTGAAAGTGAAAATGATTCTCTAGGGTTATCTTGAGAAAGGCAAAATTTTAATTACAAAGTTCATTCATTTGATAATGGGGTATAGGGGCATATATACACATTAGAGTTTGAAATTGGAGAAACGTAATTCAGTTTCAGAAACCAGTAGAACAAAATTTAGTGCACAAATTTGAGCGGTAACAATTCAATCTGATGATCGGCGGGATTACCGAATCAAAGCAATAACTCACAAGGAATAGATCGACCTAGCCTATAATAATTCAGCCATTAATCCCTAATAGAAGAATCATCTAAGAGAAAACCTGCCTCCTCGCTTGGAGCTTAACTGATGCCTTAAGAAATATCGTCGGCCGACGTTTCTAGTTTGGCGGCTTCGGAGCAGTCGCCGGAGGAGGTGAACGGGTGGTATGATGTGAGCGACGTTTTCGAACTCTGGATTTCAAAGTTGGTGGAATCTTGTGGATCCATCAGCCAGCATTGGAAGTGTCAATTTTAAGAACGGATATTAAGGGGCTGTTTGTTTCAATTTCTTAATGGTTCAGATGCCTGAATGGTTCAGTACTTAATGATTCAGACTGTTTATTTCAGCCTCTTAATGGTTCAGATGTCTGAATGGCTCAGACATTTGCCTCCGAATGGTTAAGTATTATACAGAGTCTGAATGGTCAAGACCTCCTATCTGAATTGATCAGACATTTTTCTCTGAATAGTTAAGCAATATACTAGCTCTTAATGGTTCAGACCTCTTACTGTTTCAGCATTTAATGGTTCAGACTTCTTACTAGTTCAACACTTATCTATTCAGAAGTTGCCAAACAGTCCCCCTAAAGCATTTCTGGGTCATCCCATGATATTATTGGG